CGGTTCTTCAAGCAATACCCTCAGTGAGTCTGATACATCTTGCCGCACATGGAAATCCCAAAAGAGGAGAGATTGCCCTCTCTCCTGAACGTAATACTGGCAGTATTCCACAAGAGGAAGATTACCTCCTAACAATGTCCGACATTGAAGGAGTTCAAGTGCGAGCTAAACTGGTGGTACTCAGCTGTTGTCACAGTGGGCGTGGACTGATTAAAAAGGAAGGAGTTATTGGAATCGCGCGAGCATTCTTAGCATCCGGTGCACGTTCAGTGTTGGTAGCATCGTGGGCTGTAGAAGACAAAGCAACAGCGAACCTCATGAAACATTTCTATAAACACCTTGTTCGTGGAGAAAGTGCCAGTGAATCTCTTCACCAGGCTGTACAATGGTTGAGAGGCAATGGTTTCCCCAAACCTTGCCAATGGGCTCCGTTTGTGCTGATGGGGGATAACGTGACATTTGATATTATGAAAAAAGGGTAAGTTTGATTATAATGAGCAATTTTCTACGACAAACCGAATAGCACACTTAACTTGTTCAGTTCACTCAATTGTCGTAATTTTGTCTGTTTGTTTTTGTCTTTGTCTTTCATCCATAAAATGCCAAGAAAAAGCGGTTTATTTTATCTAGTGCAGAGCCAGAAGATTTTGACGAATCGCTCTCTAAAATTGGCCTTGAATTGGAGTTTCTTTTGTATGTAATAATTACTAAAGTCGATACGATGCTAGACGCTATGACGATGAAGGTAACTTTAGAAGCTAAGAAAGTTTACTTTATCCGTAAAAATCAACAAAAATAACACTAAAATGACAATCTTGAAGTCACTTTCGTATCATGCATAGTATGTTCGACAGGTTTGGATAATCATAGCCAATGTCATTGAAGAAAAAAGTAATTTCTTTTATTGGAAGTCTGTTCCGTTTACTTTAAAGTTGAAATAGAGACAAATGTAAAATGTTTTTTTCTAGGAAAGAAGAACTCGAGGAAGACAGCAACGAGGCGGAGAAGAAACAGGGTGACAACTGATCCTACACAAAGATTCTTCTTCATGTACATTGTCTTTCAATGGACACTGGTATCACTTGCGAAGACATTTTTTTAAATTTTCTTTTTAAGTCAAGAAATAAATTTTGCGTGCTTTTATAAGAAAGGCTTAATCGAAAGCCGGCAACATTGAAACCTGAAATTCAGCCGTTTTATCTATTAAGTATACTAGCAATAGGGAAATACAATAAATTGGGATAGGAAAAATGAACGCAGGAAATTAGTTTGATATTTAGAAATTGACAAAGTTGGCAAAGTTTCGTCAAGACTCAGAATTAATCCTTGATTTAAATCATTACGATCCTGTTTTTAATTCTCCCGTTGCATGCACACGTGATCATTAAAGAGTGATTAAGACTGTTCACAAGTGCAGGAGATGATAACATAACAAACTAAGAGAAGAGGGAACAAAAAGTGCCGAGATACTGAACACACAATCATATAGAAACGAGAAGATAATTAAGTGAAAATCAGACAGAAAAGCGAACAATGTTTGAGATTTACCGCAATAATCAAACAGTGTTGGAAACAGCTATATAATAATCTAAAAAGTAAATGGAAAAGGGAACAAACAGAGTGCAAATACTAAATAAAAAGCATTAATAAATAGAGAAGAAGAGAAAAAGTGAGCGATTTATTGAGATAAAATTAGGAGAAAAAATTGCGCGAGACACTAACGCCAAACAGAAGAGTGCAAACAGTTCACAGGTCATGAACGTGACAATCAGCCAGAATATCAATTGCAACGAATAGCGAGTTAGATATTAACTTGGAAACCAAACAGAGACGAGAAAAAGCTATGCGCAAAATACAACTGAACAAAACTACCAAACAGAGAGATGAAAAAACGTGCAGTGCGCAATATAATTGCAACAAACAAAGTGAAAAAGAACAAACAATGGATTGAACATTGACAAAAACGTCAGATTGGAAAGAAAAGGCACATTTATTGCACAAAACATTGAGGTAAAAGTCAGTACTGAGAAGAAGTAAAGAAACAGTGCACAAGACACTGATGTTACAAACGGTAAAACCGTAACCATGCAAGAATAATTTTTTTAGCTGGATGAGTTGAGGTAGGACACTGTGTAACTGATGTTTTCATTTTTGAAAAAGAGCCTAAACCTTAAAAAGAACGAAAATATCGTATTACTTTACTTCTGTAAGAGAGAGAAAAAAACCTTCCAATTTGTCTGAAATAAACTCGCACATAGGTATTTCGTGGTCTATTGTCTATGTGGTCTGAATAATTATAAACAAAAATAAAATTACTTTACCTTTACGCAGAAAATGGAGCAACGCCTTTGGTGGGAGCATGGCAACAAGAATAAGTTAGTTGAATAAAAAGCGCCCGTTGGTGCCGCGGGAATTAACAGCGCCGATTTGAAAGATAAATTTTTGTTCTAGAGTTTAGTGTTCAGCCATTGTCAAATTTTCCATTGTGATTCATAATAGAAAAACGCTCGAAAAGTCAGCCTAGAAACTCTTTCCGGTGGCCAATTTACATTTTCAACTCAGGTGATGAAACCAAATTATCTTTTAGTTTCTTAACTTAGTTTATTAGTCAGCCGTTATCTTTTTTTCGATTATAATCTATCATATGGGGACGTTAGTTTAGCCCTTTAGGCAAATAGGGGTTATTGAAAGACATGTTTTACAAATTCAATCGTAAAACAGAATGTTTCGTTCTAAGGACGTTCGTTTCTGATCGCCCCTCGCGCAAGTGGTTAGTAAGTCGTGTAGTTTGAAGAGTGATTCGTTATGGGGCGTAAGCTCAGCCCTTTAACCCTTTAACTTCTAAGATCTCATTAGTAATTCTCCTACTGTCTGCCAAATGATTTTCATTATGCTAGTTTGGAGAATTTGGTATCGGATCAATTAGTAATTCCATAATTGATATTTTTCGTTATTCTCATCACTTGTCTGCATGATATTGTATTGATATAGTAAGGAGAAATTCTATGTTGGTCACTCACTGGAGTTAAAGGTTTAAGCTAGTTTAGCCAGTGGTTATTTTTATGTTTTTTTTAATTGACTTCAGTGCGCCAAGTTGCGACCTCTTTGGTCACCATGGCGAAAGAAAACAAAACCCAAGCGACACCAAACACCAATACATTTATGGCATGTTCTTTCGTTTGACTCCAAAGAGTTACTATCATCTAATTTCTCTCCTCGCAATATCAGCCTTGAATCACACATTTAGGTCAGGATAGTGAAGGAAATGATCACCAACTAGATCTTACTCGGTGTAAAAGACACAGATGACGTAACAGACAGACGAAAGAACGAGGAAAAATGGACAACAATTTTCCATCGGTTGTTGGGTAAATCGTTCATCCCGAAGGCTCCTTAATCCTGCATAGCAACTAATCTGCTCAAAAACAGCTTAAAGTCAGATTTGTATCAGTTGAACGATTCACTCATTTGGATATATCTAGCATGTCGCTGGTGGTAAGATTATGACGGTATTCTAGGGGCGGGTCACTAAGTTCTGGAAATAATGCTCAGTGTACTCCTTCATCCTGATCGCCATGCAGCTGCCCACTTTTGCATTTTATGGAGAAGACGAATGTATCATGCATCGAGATGAAAAGGTTACGCATCCACGCGGAAGATCATCCAATCCTAGCAACGGAACAGAATGCGTTGTCCTCCCTGACGTCCGTGACTCTGTAGAATTCTACTTTGGCAATTTGGATGGCAATGAAATATCCCCAAATCATGTCCAACTCCAGAGCTCCCATAGGTGCACTATTCTCTGAATTGCCATGCCAGAGAAGCTTAGAGATCATTCGCAATTTTCCGCATCTTTTTTCGAGAGAGCACGCAAGAAAAACACTCGAAATTTGCTAAATAATCACTTTAATTCTACTTTTAGCCCTTCTTAATTAACAGAAACCTTTGCCTAATATGATGCTGCAAAATGTTCGAAATTTGCACCGTTGTCTCTGACACGCGACGTGTACAAATCATTAGTTTAAGACGGGAAAAAATTCACGGTAGCGATGTAAGCGAAACATTCCTAACCATATAAACTTGTGTAATGAACGCGCAGTTTCATTATTTTCATAATTTTTCTTTGTGCTTCATTGTGACCTCAACTAACCTTACACATAACATTAGTGACGACACACCCTCAAGGCGCCTGGAGTTAATCTCGCATCCAGATCATACCGTGTAGCTGTTACAACTGTTTGGCTGTGGAAGGTCTGGGTAAGAGACTAGCCTGGAGTGCCTTCAAAGCACCTTTAGGCAAAAATGCCTCGATCGACTACAGGTAGTTGTTTTGGTTTGATCCATCACAACACGTCATCTAAAATTTGATATCATAATGAATTACTACTACTACTAACTTCCGATGCCAAAGAACAAACTCTCCTGTTTCTCTTTAAAGACAGTTTTCTATCTCTAAATTTAAACTTGGAGATTATTTTGGTAAAATATGCCATCTAAAAAACTACAAACTACATTCTTTGATTTCTTCCTTCTTTCCTCACAATTATTGACTTAAATGGTATGGAAGTCAGCTTGATTCATTCGAAGCTTAAAGAGTAGTCGTCCATCAACAACTATTGTACTCACTCGTGGTTATCAGTTTGGAAACCATTTCTTTGCTTCGTAATCTTCACTAAACAGAGGGGTAGTAACATCAGCCATCAAGTCCTCATCATTATTAATTGGTATATACCCCATTATTTGCATTACATGTTTACAATAATGTTCAATGATGTCAATATCATGGGGATGTACCTTGCATCGCCAACGATTCGCTGTTGCTGAAGCATCATCCATCATGAAAAAGTCCGGGGAACCCTCTATCAACATATCTTCTCGTTTTTTGGACGGATGGGTCGATTCGTTCAGCCATATTTTCACGTGATCGAGCACAGGCAACCCAGCAAAGTCGTATAAGCGTGACATCACTTTAAGTGGGTTCACTGCAAAATCTTCGTAACGCTGAACCAATATACGCCTGCGCCAGCTGAGAGGGAGGTTCTTCAGGAAAACTAGATTATCTTCGGTTTGTTTGCAATTCTGATAGCTAAACAAACGAAGTCCATCTTTACTTAACCGGCTGCCTCTGTCAATGGGAAAACCTACACTATGAGAAGACGGAATAACTGCACGAGGATCTTTTATAAGAAAAATAATTTGGCAGTTGGATTTCGATTTTCGACATGCTTGCAAAATATTCTTAATATCGTTTCCTGCGATGCGACTCATGAGAATTTTTGCAACGGTGACAGCATACTTATTACGACAAGTGGTTCCGAGAGATTTATTCGTAAGAGGAAGACAAAGTTTTAAGTCCCATTTCGGGTCGGTCATTTCGTGCGGGCACAGGGGTGGCGAACCAATCGCACAACTTGCTCGGGAATGGCTTGGTTCTCGGTAGAAATTATCAAAATCTTCCAAAACAGCTTGACTGAAATTACACCGCAAAATGTTCGATAAAATGTTTATCATTAGGCTTGCATAGCGATCTTTGTTAGAGCCATTTTGTTTAGATATTCTCTCTACGGTTTGTAACGGCTCGTGTAGGTAAAAGACAGATGGATGATGATTGAAAATCTCTCCAGTTATTGTAGAACCAGATCTTCCATGAGCTATGACCAAAATGCTTCTTCTTCGTCCCTTTGAATCGAGGCGTTCGTTATGGAAATCCGCCCACTCTTGGATATCCGCACTTTCCTGGAAATCGTGCCTTTTGCGGGGATATGGGTTGGGACCTGAGCGCATTTCTTTGTACAAACGTGCAGCGAGAAATATGGTGGAAATAATGGCAATAATGACTGCTAAAACTCGTAAAAGGATACGTCGTCTGCACGAGTGCAGTGCCATCTTTAAAGAATCTTACGTGTCGTGAAAAAAAAAAGACTTGTAAGAAATATGAGTCTCACCGAAATCTTAAAAGGTCCAATTGTCTCGCAATGCTTGGAGAAACTCCATGACCCCATTTGAACAAATTCAAAGTGTCTCTATATTCTCTGTTTAATGTGTCTTGATTTGAGTCTAGACGGTTTTTCTTGTGTCAATGATCAATATGGCGTTTAAAACCTAATGGACATTTAACCAATCAAGTCCTAACTTCTTTGCCGCGCCGCAGTTTTGTTTTATTGTTGTTATCATTTTTCTTTATCTCTGTGGCAGTCTGTGCCAGCTCATCTTGGAGGTTTTAATAGAAGTGTACATTTTCTGCAGTTGGTTAAAGTAATCTTGGAAACGAAGGTCGATTCAAGGCTAATCGGAACAAGGTTGTCTTTACAAACACGTTTCCCTTTATGAAACACGGAAGTGAATGTCTCGCTCGTAGAGGGGTTAATTTAATTTACATGAAAAACCTTATTAATTTTATAAGAAATGAAAATTTTGAATGGTTTAAAAAAAAAATTTAATCCTAAGATATTCCTATTTTTCCTTAGAATTATTGGATATTCCTTTTGTAAAATTTGCTTCCGTCGTAGTGGCCATACTCTTGTAAAGAAATACACAGTCTTTTACCGTCTATGTTTGACATCTTTGTTGTAAAATGTGGACACCAGCTCTCTCAGGACACGAAGTTAATTCTGTTTCTGAGCAGAAGGAAATGGTTTCGTTTAGAAAACGTGAAAAAAAAACACGGAAAAATACGAGTTTTATAAGAAGATGAACGGTAGTGATGTTAATGGAATCATTAATGACAATCGTCTATTATTTCTCAGTCAGGATGTGATCCAATCAAATCTGGAATAATTTGAGGAAGATCTTTAAAAAAAAATGTAGCCTCTTCCAGGCAAACGAAAAAGCAGGCAAATTACAAAAGGCGGTGGCGGTTGTCAAAGATACAGAGAGCGTGGCACCGGCTTTTAAGACCTTGGTACGGAAACCTACAAAAAGACACGGCTCATAACTGTTTCCGTGGAAACGATCCGTAATTAAGGCAAAAATCCCGACAAAGTAAGGACCAATTAGAGCGCTAGGATTTACCTCAAGACTACCTTACCATATGATATTACCAATAACTAAATGCTTGAAAAACACGCAAAGAAACTTACAAAAACGAAATAATATATGACGATAAAAATGGCACTTATTTTTTAAATATTTTCCGTCTGACATTCACTGTTCCCAGGGCACAGGTACACCAACATAACCTGGGATAGCTCGACAGGGAGGCGAACACCTGCCGTTGGACTTAGTGGACTTCTCACCTTGATACGGTTTTCTTCAGCGCGGGGTTTAATCAAAATCTTCCCTCGCCCCAACTGTTGAGATTTAGCATTGGTTGCATCCATATACTTGGCGTTTAATGTGTCGTGAGGACAAATTTGTAAGTCTGCAAATTCATGGCAATGGAAAAGAAATATTGTCGTCTGAAAGGTATAGCAAACATTTTAATAAAAAGCTGAAAAACAGGACCTTTCTGATTATTTTTTTGAGAACTGAGTTATTAAATTTTGAGATTGATTTTTTTCAAAAATACCTTTTTGGAAATAATTTGGCGGTTTTCTGAGAAAAATGGAGATACACGTTTCCACACTCGATCAGCGTGCCCTCATCGTGGTACTTGCCAGAAGACAGCAAGAACACAAGGTGACTGGAAATCACAACTTAGGAGGAGGGGCTGAAAAATATTTTGGAGATGACGACCCAATCAAAGAGGCTGGAAAGAATTAAAGAAAATTCGATATTCTTGAAAAGAAGTTCATATGATTAGGCTTATGGGTCTCCAAAATAAAGAGTGAAGCCGAAAATTGTGACAATTATGCATGTAAAATTTGTATTCATCAACCCTACCCCTGAGAGTATGAATCATGGAGCGGTTACTTATCACGTGGAAAAAATGTACAAGGTCGAGGCATGTTTAAATATACATTCACTTGAAGTGAAAGAACCTTCGGTGTGGAACGGAATTTTTTCCTTCTCTGCAACGTCATCAGCCTTAATCTTTTATCAAAATGGAAGAAGCCTATCACTGTCCCGACCAAAAAAAACTCCAGGCCTTGAGAGACATGGCCAACCTGCTTCGAATTCACAGCATCGAATCCACCAACACTGCTGGATCGGGGTGAGTTTGCTATTTCCAACCCTTGGGTGTTCGCCTGGAACGAAAGAGTTGGCTTTGTCGTGTATGTCGCTGGTAACATCGCATAATTTTTCCTTGTAGGCATCCAACTTCTTGCTGTTCTATCGCAGAAATTATGTCTGTTCTTTTCTTCCATACAATGCGCTATAAAGGTGAGTGTGATACTCATTTGGCGATAAAGTTGAACTGTCGTGCTTGTCTCCACAACTTACACGAGTTGCATATAATTTTCTCTGAGGGCTTTTCTCGATATTGCTGTATTGTTATGCGCTCGAAAAACTTGCTGTAAATGTGCTTTATTCGCTCAGCCTTGGTCAAAAGCTGCATATTAGGTATACTGTAAGATTTAAACAAATAAGCCTTTGCGTTTGCTATTATATACAGATTGGTGTTGCAATTTGGCGTTGGGCCAATTTCACAACTACAAATCTGTCATAAATTTCGTTTACACTAAAAAGTCAACAAATCGAATATTTACCAGATCTTAGCTGTTGTTTTGTTAACTGCGATAACTCTTTACGATCACCTGGAAAGTGTTTCTTGGCAAGCAAAAAGATCTTTTATTTTTTCTAAGCCAGTGAATTATTGCTTCTTGTGGAAAATTTTATCAAATCCTACCTCTCTATCCCGAACGTATTAGTTAATGTAACCTCAGATGAAAGTGCTCTATTAAGATAGTTAAATACTCCAAGTTACCATCAGCAGTGTAATAAGCTTTGAATTTCTATTAAATACCACAAGGCATATCTTGTAGTTATGACAACTTTTTAAAACTTACTCAAAATTGAAATAATTTTGTTGAAATAATTCATTGCTTAGAAAAAAAACTAAGAAAATCAATCAGAATAAAGAATTACCTTGAAAATGAAGTTTATTCAATTTAGATTTGAACTGAGTGTTGCCTGTTTGGAGAAAAATTTGAATCGACTGGTAGCAATTTTTTTTCCTTATGGGGGTTAATTTTTGTCTCATGATTACTAAACTCTTTTGTAAAGCTCTCTTCACATAATTTAAATATGTGGAATGCAAAATATTAGCCAGTTTTTATGACTGACACAAAACAGCTGAGGGTTAAAGTATATTTACAGCTTCTTGAAGAAGAGGGTCCAAATTTTTGGGATCCAAAATTTCATGAAGAGGTCACATCTCGTCATAAAATCCTTTGTTTGCTGTAGATTTGACACCTGATAAACCTGATTGGCAAACAATCTGGTCCTCAGTTTTAAAAGCTGGTTACAATTTAACACTGGAACTGGTCTTTGACAGTTTTAAGTTTAACATAATAGTTATTTTTGTACAAGGAAATATTGCTGTATGGAAAGCATTCATCCCATAGAAGCAATTTCTTGTGTGGCTAAATAACGATGGTTCATTGACCATTAGTTAAGAAGTCCTTTTGTCTTTCTCTTAAGAATTATTTTTCCTTGTTTTTTGTGCCATGAAAAAACCCCCTTGATTTGCAATTTGTTGTAAAATTTTAAACATTCTTGCTCTTAAAGAGTAGTTTGACTGCCACATAAGTTTTACAGTTACCATTTTAGTCATTTAGGAGTTGTTTTTTAGAAAAAGAAAAAAGACAAATGCTTGAATATTTATTCATAATGCAAACAAGAGAGAGGGCCAATATTAGGTATTAGGTATGTTTTCCTGAATCATGCAACCTTTGGGATTATTTGTCTGAAAGAAAAAACTCTATACCAGCAAAATACATAGGAGAGGTAGATTGTAAAGATATTCCTCAAAGTGGACATTAATATTTTAGACAGAGTCACTGGAATAACTTGTCAAGGATAAGGAAAAATAAGTTGTTTGCTAATTTACATTTTGTGTGATGAATGATGCTCGTTTTAAACAACTTAGTTTTTAATGCTTGACCATCTCACTCAAATGAAATACAAATCAGCAATATGAAACCTTATATTGATAATATCCTTTACCAATGGCTCTTATTGAATGCTATAGTAAGGCCTTAACCCTTTAACTCCCAGTAATGATGAACATATTACTTCTCCCTAAAATATCCATACATTACCCATTAAACAGGCAAAGAGAATAGTCAGACTTATCAGGTAGAAGTTATCTTGATCTAGCATCAAATTCTTATAACTGATCTACTAGAAAATGTTAAGCAGTGAGGGAGGAGAATTAACAACCAGATCTTGGGAGTTAAAGGAGTTAAAACAGTTGATCTCAAAAAAGAATAACCATAAAATGTTATTATGTATGAATTGTACTGTCTTTTTGTATGGTGAGGTTGAAATGAATCAATCTTTTTTGACAGTTGCTGATCCTCGAGATCCAGCAAGTGACAGATTGATCTTATCTAAGGTGTGTTTGTGTAACTGTTCTTTTTTTTGTGGGTGATGGTTGTATTTACATGTAAATGCAAATTGGTCAGAATGGAACAAAGAAGGTTCAATCTGTTTGTAGCAAGCCATTTCCACATACCTTACAATTTGGTTTTGCCCGGTGCATTATCAATGTAATCTTCCAGAGTTGTTGTTAGGAAATGTGATGGACATATGATCTGAAATGAGTAGGAGGCTGAATTAAGTGATACTTGTGTAATAAGCATGGCATGTTGCTTTACAACACACCCTTGGAGGTGTTCAGAGAATGTGCTCCCCCCTAAACTTTGAATTTAAAACTCTCTTAGTTGTGATTTACAGGTCAAAAATACTGTCTTATTTTCTATCTTTGATCCAATTTACAAAGAAGGTTATGCAAACTTGTCTGGCAGCTGAAGGGTTTCTGCTGCCTAGAATGTACCAGCTTCTTATGACAACTTGGAATCTTGACATGGAATTTGTCTAGACATTTGTCTTCTACTCATTAAACAAACTTTTTCTTACTGACAAGACATGAATGAATTAACACGGCAAATGGCAATTGCCAAAGTCAAATAGCCCTACAAGAAGCTGAAACATTCACTTTTATCACTAAAATATGTTGAGCTTCATATTCTGACACAAAATTTTTATTTCTGAAGGCATAGTATAACAAATTTTACAGTGCTATCGGGTTTCTGAGATATTATTAACTACAGAAACATATTACTCAGAGACAAAAATAAATGAAGATTGGAACAAAAATGATTTTAACCCAAAAGGGCAGGTGCGAATGGTACTGCCCTTTAGCTATAATACAATAAAACACAAGAAATCCAAATTACAACAAGTTTGTGTGGCATCAGCTGTACCTATGGCTTACGGCACAAGCAATTTCTAACTAGTGTCCACATGCAGGGCCAGTCAATGTCAAAGAACATTCTCAGGTGGTCAAAAAGTGTTTTTTAATGAAAAGCTGGAGGGAGAACGGACTCAAAAAAGTAGAAGAAGGAGCAATAGAACTAAAGTAATTCCAAAGCTTCACAATGTAATAATGAAACTTTGGAATTACTCTTGTTCTTTTGCTCCTTCTTCCAGTTTTTTGAGTCTGCTCTCCTTTGTTTTAACAATGACATGGATTTCATTTCAGGGTCATGCAGCTCCCATTCTCTATGCAGTGTGGGCTGAAGCTGGTTTGTTTCCAGTATCAGATCTGGCCAAGCTTCGAACAATTGACTCTGATTTGGAAGGTCATCCCACCCCTGTGAGTAACAAACTCTTGTTATCATATCTGTAATAGTTTTGATGTCCCAAGTGTTTTAACCCTTTAAACGCTAAGAGTGACTAGCATCTAAATTCTCCTTACAATATCATCCCCAAATCACACATTAAGGTAATGAGACTAAAGGAGATGATCACCAACTAATGAAGCTCTTGATTAGTAAACAAATTCTCCTTGTCAGCTCCTTAGGAAATGTATAGAGAACAGTATGGAGAATATGCAGACTGATGTTAGGGTGTAAAGTGTTTATATGTAACTCATTCACATAATTGTGATACATTTACAAGATTATGAACTAAGTTAGAAGTCATTATCTTGATGTAACACCAAAATCTCTCAACTAATTTACAAAGAAATGTATAACAGCAAGATGGGAGGATTTAACTTATCAGAACTTGTGATTTGAATGGTTAATATGCTTCCATTTATCTAAATCAAGTGTTTTTCCTCATTCTGTAGCGGCTTAATTTTGTGGACTTTGCCACTGGTTCATTGGGTCAAGGATTGAGTTGTGCTGCTGGAATGGCTTACATGGGAAAGTACTTTGACAAATCAAGGTGATCATTGATCTGTGAAAATGACTTAACAATTTGACCAACACTGAGTAAGGAAGTCAAGTATTATTTAGGACAGTTCAGCTCCTAATGGCTAGTATGGCTAGACTCCAGGTTGAGAGGTCTGGGTTTGAGACTTTGCAGAGTCATTGTGTTGTGTTTTTGGATGAAATACTTGCCTCTCTCCACTCAGGAATATAAATGGGTAACGGCAAATTGTCAGGGAAGCCTGTTGAAATGCTGAAGGGAGGGGTAACCTTGCACTGGACTATCTAGGGGAGAGTAGTGATACTTGTAGTCATGTCATGCCAAGGGAACCAGAATAAGCTCCACTTTGGTGAGTCACTCAGCTCTAGAACTTGCCCTTTGACCATTGCTTTAATCTTCATCTCTGGTACTTACAGTTTCCGCGTGTACTGTGTGATTGGTGATGCTGAGTCAGCAGAAGGTTCTGTCTGGGAAGCCTTGAACTTTGCAAGTTACTACAAACTTGGTAACTTATGTGCAATTTTTGATATCAACCGTCTTGGCCAGAGTGACCCCACAATGCTCCAGCATGACTTTGAAACTTACAAGAAAAGGACTGAAGCTTTTGGGTAAGGAACTTTTTTAGTGTTTGTTACAGTTAAGCTCAGTTAGGGTTATTGACTTTTTTTAAAAGTGTCCAGAAATAAAGCTTTAAACTTACAAGAAAAGGACTGAAGCTTTTGGGTAAGGAACTTTTTTAGTGTTTGTTACAGTTAAGCTCAGTTAGGGTTATTGACTTTTTTTAAAAGTGCCCAGAAATAAAGCTTTCTTGGGTGATGTGTACCTATTTGACCCTCAACACTTGAAGAGGACAAGCAGTTATGAACTCTTTCTTAAATGGAAAGTCTAACTGATTTTCTATTGTATTTGTGTGATTTAGCTTTCCTGGCCTAAACAATGTTTAGAAACAGAAGAGTTTTCATAAATAAGTTCAGCCGAGAGGGCTTATTTTCAATGAATGTTTTTCCACATTAAAGAATGATAATTACACTTGCTACTATAAAAGGGAACTCTGCAGTTAAATTGTTGCGATCCACATTCATTTGGAAGCAATTATGTCTTTAATATTTGCAGAACAAATTTATAAAGAACATGATGTAATCCCAAGATTTAAGAAAAAAAAACCCATGAGCTGAGTTAAAAAATAGCTATCTGTAAGTTGTGATAACTAAAAAGGGGGTTTGTGTCATGTGGATGGAAAGTTGTAATTGTAAAAGAGTCATTCCTGTGTGAGTTTGCAACTTGATACGCCGTGCATCTATATGAATGAGGTTTTCCTCATTCTTCAACCTTCTTGCATTCATCTTTAGAAAGTAATTATGCATGAGCTACCAGTTTCTGTTCACTGTGATGCCGACATCGCACCAAAACCAGAGGTTGTTACATATTTTCAGGATACTGTTAAATGGAGTTTTTATTCTGGAATCAAATTATTGTTTTGGGCCCAGTTCTTCAAAGACTGGTTAAGCCTTTAACCTCCAGATCAAATTTGTAATTCTTCTTATACCATACAATTCTTTTAATGTTAGTTCAGAGAATTCAGTATTGGATCAACTAATTATTCCCAAATTGAAATTTTTCTTTATTCTCATCACTTATCTGGTTGATGTGGTGTTGATATTGTAAGGAGAAATTCTGTTTTGGTCACTCATGGGAGTTAAAGGGTTAAGTTATCTAACAGAGAAATCATGATCCACTAGATAGGTGTTAACCAAACATACAGAGCTATTTCCTTGACAGGGATTCATCTCATGACTAGTGCTATCTGTCCTTTGCACATCCTGGGCCTGATGTCGCAGTCTGAGTGAATTTGCACCAGTGTGACTGATTCTAGATTGAAATGTTACTTGTAGTATCACATAACATAACACAGCCACATGGGGGATGGTGGTGAATTTACAGTGTTTTCAAAGTCCTCAGTTCATAAATTATATCACTTTGAACTCTCTTGCAAATGAACAGAGTTTTCATAAATCTTTCTCAAAGGTGGAACACCATTGTAATAGATGGTCATGATGTAGAAGCTGTCTGCCGTGCATTTCATGAAGCAAGCGTCAGCCAAGACCGCCCCACTGCTATTTTGGCAAAGACCTACAAGGGAAAAGGTGTCCCAGGTATGTTGAAAAAGTTTTTGAATTTACATGTCATAATATATTTGCTGCTTTTTGTTAAGGAATGGCAATGCTCCAAGCCACTTTTACAGAAACAGCCTTAAGCTTTTACCTTTTTCCTTTTCTTGGAACCATGGAAGCATATTGGTTAGTATGCCAAGCTACTTAACTCACTGTCCTGCCAACTTTTGGGGGGGGGG